TCCCAAAGTAGCAAGGTCAACATGTTATTAGATCTATATAGACTTAGTACTTATAGCCCAGTGGGTCTATTTGAACCAGTAAGGTTTCCTTCTAGATTCTTTATTTAACCTGCATTTGGTAAACTTCCGCACATTTCCAGTACAGTTCAGGGAAACACACAAGCAGGAACAGGGGACTTTCCCCCAAATGTGCATTTCTTTCTCACCAGCTTGGGTGAACTCCAGCTTGTCCTCCAGTTACCAGGCGATTTCAAAGTTTTGAGGACAGTTATCAATTGAGTAGCATTACCTAATCTCTCAACAACACTTTCAACCATATTTTTATATTAGTTTCATTTTAGCACATTGATAAGGAAAACACAGAGCACTTCTGTGCCTGAATATAGGATTTTGTTCCTCTACCCAGAATGAGTTCACTTTCCCACTGCTGAGCTGTAGGCTATGTGGACAAAGAGGGTCTTTCCACTGAAATGTAACAGATTCTGCAAAGACATTAGGAGGTTGAGTTATTACATGAGGGGGGTTGTTAAGGATTTTCTGCAGCAAATCCTTTGATAAATGAATACACCTTACTCTGTGTAATCCATTTCTTAAAATATTCATTTTATCAGCTTGGATTTTTGTATATAAATTGTATTATATTAAAGTATCTGTCAAAAAAAAATTATAGCTGGGCATGGTGGTGCATGCCTGTAATCCCAGCAGGTGGTGCATGCCTGTAATCCCTCAGGAGGCTGAGGCAGGAGGATTGTGAGTTCATAGCCAGACTCAACAAAAGCGAGGTGCTAAACAACTCAGTGAGACCCTATCTCTAATAAAATACAAAATAGGGCTAGGGATGTGGCTGAGTGGCTGAGTGCCCCTGAGTTCCATCCCTGGTACCGCCCCCCCACACACACACAAAAAAAAGAATTATAATTACATGTGGGCCAAAACCTTGATAAGGTATCCATGAGAACGAAACCTAATTAAAAAATCATTCTAGTGCTTTCTTTGGTGTCTACACTTAAGGGTTGATAATTGCAGCAATAAGAAATTATGGTTCAAACACATGGTAGGTCCCTGGATGACCCCTTTATGAGTCATTTGAGCACAAAAAAACAGTTTAGACAAATTGTCTAACCTGTGCATCTCTATTATTTGAATGAAAGTAAATGTTTGGTATGCTATGGATAACACTGGAAACTTCAGAAACAGGCCCAGTGGTCTATATAAATAGACCGTGTGCTTGATTAATTCTATTCCTTCATTTTACAGGGGAGAAAACAGGTCCAAAGGTTTTTGAAATGACTTTTCAAAGGTCACATGGACTGTTACTGGAAACCCAGGGCAAAGAGCCAGGTCTCGTGGCCCCGCATCCAGCTTTTCCACAGCCCTGTCCAGCTACCAAATATATAGAGTTTCAAAATCAACAAGCGCCTTATCATTATACTCATCTTTTTTCAAAAGCATTCAGAAATCTTCTTCATATGACTTTCTATTGAATTGGCATTATTGTGCTTTGTGATATGTGAGTAGATGTATCAACCAAAGATTTCTATTAGTTGATGCATCTTTTGAGTTCTTAACCATTGATTATAATTTGCTATTTAATTGTTAATTTATTGCAAATAAATTATTTAAGAAAAGAAATTGTTCTTTCCTTTTTAATAAGCATATCCATCCTCTCTCTCCATCTTTACAGTCACTGGCCTGGATTTGACAACAGCAGTCCCATTCTCTTTAGTCTAGGAAAAAAAATCCAGCATCAGCTGGCATCCCTTCCTCTCTCTCACCCCTGCCCACATCACCTCACCTTTCACAAGGCTTCCTAACTTCTCAAATCACAACCATGCTCAGCTCATTTCCTGGCTACCAAACCTTCAGACTGAGACAAACGCCACACCCCTGCAAACCAGACCTGAGCAGCCATAGTATACCTTCCCCTGTCCTTTCACAATCCCTACGTGTGTTGCGTGTGCCCACTTGATAATACACAACATGCCCCCATTTTCAACTTTTGACTTTACTCTTATGATTCCAAATGCTTGGATAAATATTTCCATCCTCACTCCTGCTCACCCCCCTACTTGTACCAATTCTCTTAAATACTGTATCTTATGTGAAGTCCTCCTAGATGTCTACTATTCAAGCTCTTCTCTCTTTCCTTAGAATGCTCTTATCTGACATTGAGAAACTGATGTGACTCCATTTTTGAGAAACCAGCTTCTACTTCAAGGCCTGTCCAGAGGGAGGGGGCATGACCCTTGTCCTTGGAAAAACCCACAGAGCACTCCTAGGCACATACCCACCTTGCTTAGTTGTTTGTCTGTAAATAACAGGAGAGATCTGTGACACCAGGTGTCCCTGACTCAGTTACACTAGATGAACAACCACCAATCAGCGTGAGACAGGGAAAATACCTGAAATGCCAGGTGAACCTCCCACTAGTTTCTGTGATTGATAACATGTTAGGAAACCTGTAGTTTAGCACGTACACCCCCTCATGGCTTAAACCAATCAGTTCAAATGTATCCACCTCTTGAACTCACCAACCACCCTTACCCAACTTGTTCCCGCCAGTGAATGTGCTAACCAATGTTAAGAGTTGTTGTTTGATTTTTCCCGTGGTGTGAAATGATTTACTGTGTAATGTTGTGATGCATGGAGTATCCCCAAAAAAACCTCACTGGACTAAGGGCCCGGGCTTACTCCTCAGGACTCCTGCATGTAAGTCCAGGCTCTAGCTTACAATAAAGACTTTTGTGTGATTGCATCAGATTCAGCTCCTGGAGGTCTATTGGGGTCCCATGAATCTGGCATTACAACTCCTTACCCTTATTTCCTCTGCCTTGTGTTATAGACATCTCTGTATATTTATTTTCCTCCTAAAAAGCTAAAATCTACTTGAGGACAGACAGTTTCTAACACTTAATCCTTACCATAGCCCTGCAAATGGTCCCCACTTTCAAAATGTGAAAACTATACCAAGGCTGGTTCTATTAACAGTATTTTTTGGCCTCCTTAAAAAAAATGGCACTAAAATGAAGCTTGAACTGGATGAATTTTCCTGAGAAACCCAAAGTCTATAATGTTCTTAAAAGTTTGTTTTTCATAATTTCCATTCAAGAAATCTCTAGCACCTGCCTTATGAAATTTCATCACCTAAGAATGGCTTGAGATGGCCAAAAACAGTATAAATTATGCACAACTGGCATTGTTCTTAAAAAGGCAGAAGATGAAAGGGGTTTGGAGAATGGGCAGCTTAACTGCTGACCCCTAGGCCAAAGGTCAGTGGAAAGTCACATCCTTAGATAAAGAGGTCAAAGATATGGGGGGGAATCTGAAAGTCCAATGGCAATGCAAAGTGAGGGATTTAAAGCAGGTGTCAGGAAAGGAATGCCAAGGAATGGTGTCATTTAAAGGATTACAGGAGGCCAGAGGGGGTGAGGCAAGCCTGTTGAACTGAAATAGGAACAGGGAAACTTGCCATTTATGGTCTCTTTATTACTAATGGTGTATTGCCAAGAAAATTTTGATGCACTCTAGATCTTTTTTTTTTTTTAAGAGAGAGAGAGAGAATTTTTTAATATTTGTTTTTTAGTTTTTCAGTGGACACAACATCTTTGTTTGTATGTGGTGCTGAGGATCGAACCTGGGCCGCACGCATGCCAGGCAAGCGCGCTACCGCTTGAGCCACATCCCCAGCCCAAGCACTCTAGATTTTTATACAAGCCTTAGTTAGGTCTGTAATCTACCAGTAACGTTTATGCTAAGAATTTAATTTCCAGAGCTAAGAATTCCCTGGTAAACTAATGAAGGAAGCTTCATTAGTTAAATTGTCTTTATTGAAGAAATTTAAAAATGGGTGCATGTAGTCAACAAGCTCACATTCTTGGACCTATGTAATTGTCTTTCGAGGAACCTAACATAAAGGAAGAATCAGAATTATAGTCAAAGAATTATGTACATGAGCCAGGTGCCATGGTATGCACCCATAGTCCCATCTACTCTGGAGGCTGAGGCAGGAGGACCATTTCAACCCACAAGTTCAAGACAAGCCTGGGCAATATAGTGAGGCCCTGCCTTTTTTGGGGGGAACAACCTTATGTGCCTAAGTTTCTATTTCAGAGATATTTCCAACATTTATAAAATTATAATAGTAAGAGTAAGATTAATAGTAAGTGCTTACTATCTACCAGGTACTAAACCAAGAGTGCCCAGTGGATCAGCTTATCTAACCTTCATAACAATATTATATTTTACATGTAATGTTAATTAATATTATATTAACATTATTATTCCCATTTCATAGATGAGTATGGAAGGGTAGCTAACTTGGCCAAGTTTCTACTGCAGAACCAGCATTTGATTCTGTTGTTTTCAACTCAATATCACTGCCTTGTATAAAGCCAGCCTGTACATCTTTATTTACATCAGAGTAATTAATTCCTTTTGACTTCAATCATTTTAATGGAAAGTCATGGACCAGATATGCTACCCAAATACTGCAATTGGGTAAAGAAACAACATACTGCCTGGGGAAAAGAGACTGTGTTCAGAACCACCAGGCTGGGGTTAACATCGCAATGAGACTCCATAGTCATACTGAATGTGATGGCTGCCAGTGCAGCTGGTTAGTTCCATGGGATGGACTTGGTGAATTGTCATCATGAAATAGTTTTGCGTTTTGTTTTGCTTTTCCGGTGATTGCCATCTACCATGCTCTACCTAGTCTTCTCTTCCTGTCCCTTTATGGTATATAGGCCAATTCAGGCCAGTTCAAAATGTCCATCTCATTCCATTCCCTTCTGCAGCCCAACCCTAACTCCTCCACAATTCCTGGTTTTAGCTCCTCTGGAGTTGAGGAGGAAGGAGGGCTTAAGGAAATGCACCAACTGGTTTTTTATTCACTTGGTATGGATTGCATTCTTCTCTTTGCTATCCTCAGTGTAGACATTTTGTTTCAATACTTGTTAATCATTTACAACACTCAGGTGTAAAAAGATTGGGAAACAGCATAGAATTAAGCCTCTTGGATTCAGCAAGACTACATTGCACAGTTTTCTGGCCATGGAGATCCTCTTGCACTTGGAGGTAAGTGGAGTGCTGTGCTGACACAGTTCGCACCTGCTTTAGAAGCCAGAGAGCCTCAGTGCATTTTTTTATATCTTTAATTAATACATAAAGATTTAATTTTACCTTATGATGTGCGGTGCACATTTGAATATGTGTGCCACAGGTTCTCTTTCCACCTATGTATGGTACACTTGTGAGGGTACCATTACACCAGAAATTGTGCCTCTGAAGGGGATGTATAGATTGGCCACCACTTGGACTCCAGGTAGGCACTGCACAAAGAATCAGTTCTGAAGGAAATGTCAAACTTGAGACAATGGTGCTTGAACAATTCCTGGGAGGAGCTAGATAGAACCTTACAAGAGATTATTGAGTCTGTAAGGGTAGTGTCGTGAAATCTGCCAGCATTCTGCTTCCTCCTTCCAATTAGAGGTTAGAAAAGAGAAACAGGTGGCCTCCGACCCTGTTTTCTGGTTTCCTCTAACATTCTGGTCAAGGCAGTGGAGATGACAGAAGATCTACCACCAGCTCCAAGTCCCACATGGAGGAGGAACCTGGAGTGAGCCTTAATCCAGGGGACTTGGGAGTGCCTCCCATCTCATTGTACGGTGTGGTAATGCTCCAATGGGACAGGCCCCAGACATGCTCCCTCTTTGGCTTCTATTAGACTAAAGCTTTTAAGCAGTATGAGTAAAGCCAAAAGTGCTCTCTCTGTCCCTGGATGAGCAGATTTTGAAAGATAAGGGGGAGCAGGCAGCTAAGGACAGAATAAAGAGTATTTGCCAAATTGGGACTGGCATCTTCTAAAAACCAGTTTTACTTTGGAGCCCTATGAAAATATATTTACAGAGGAAATATAGAAATTTATAGAATACGGTTTAGCTGGGGCGTATAGCTCACTGGTAGAACTCTTGTCTAGCATTTGAGAGGCCCTAGGTTTGATCCCCAGCACTACTATTGGGATGTTAAAATTAGCAAAACTTTAAAATTAAAACATTTTCAAAATTGTCATCATTCCCCCCACCCCATGTTCTTCTGTTTAAAAAAATAGTAAAATCAGTGTCACCTGGTCAGGTAAAACATTGAAGTGGATGAGCCAAATGTATAAATATATAAGTTAAAATTTATATATTCTATTGTTTGTGGTTATGTAGGTATACTCAAATTAAAATGGTCTCATTCAACTGCCATGTTTATAAATTATGAAGTGTTTCAAAAATCTCTAACTTTTGATCCAAACCTGATGGTATACATCTGTGCCCTTGGTCCTAGCTATGCAGAAGGCTGAGGCAAGAGGATTGCTTGAGCACAGGAGTTGTAGGCCAGCCTGGGCAAAATGGCAAGATATTAATAAACATTGGAAAAATCCTGCTTTATCCTTTATCCATCCAATCTACTTCTACTTTTATTCATCAGTGGTTCTTGATGCAAATACAACTATGTAGTTTCTCTCTCTCTCTCTCTCTCTCTCTCTCTCTCTCTCTCTCTCTCTCTCTCTCTCTCTCTCTTTCTCTCTCTCTCGTGCTAGGAATTGCTTCCGGGGTCTCTTGCATGCTAGGCAAGTGCTCTGCATCTGAGCTACATCCCCAGCCCTGTTTATCCCTCTTACTGTTATATTCTGGAGAGTTTCCCAATTCATAGAAGTCTTTCTTATTCTTTTTAACATCTATATGTATTGCATCATGTATATCTGCATGTATTATATCTATATGTATTACATCATGTAGATGCACAATGTTAGCTAGTCCCTCATTAAGGGACTCTTGGGATGTTTCTGGTTTTGCTGATCCTAACAATGCTGCAATAAATATCCTTCAACACATTTGATTTCCAAGCTTGCAGGTGTTATACCTGTAAGCATCTAAGATAGTGCTGTTTTAGCAGCAACATGAGCATTCTTCTTTAAACACAAATTCACCTATAGAGTATGGTTGACAATTGCTGGGATACTTGCCAATCTGATAGGTGAAAATGTTATCTGACTGTGTTTTGTTTTGTTTTAATATTTTTACTTGTAGATGGAAGCAATACCTTTATTTTATTTATTTGTTTTTATGTGGTGCTGAAGATTAAACACAGTGCCTCACACATGTGAAGCAAGCACTCTTCCACAGAGCCACAACCCTGACTATGGTTTTAATATGCATTTTTTAAAATTATGAATGAGCTGGCATTATATGTTTATGGGTCATTTATAATTCTGTTTCTACAGACTGTCTTAGATGACTTTTGCCTTTATATCTATTGGGTTGTTCGCCTTTTTCTTTCTAGTTTCTAGAAGTTCTTTATATATGAAGGATATCAACACTTTTTCTGTTATGTGAGTTATAAATATATTTCCCCAGTATTTTATTTGTCCTGTGGTTTTATTTATACTGTTTGCCATATATAAGATTTGATTTCACCCACATGCTTTGACACACACCTGTAATCCCAGCAACTGAAGAGGATGAGGCAAGAGGATTACTAGTTTGAGGCCAGTTTCAGCAATTTAGCAAGGTCCTGAACAACTTAGCGAGACCTGCTCAAAATAAAATAAAAATAAAAAGGAGTCTGGGAATATAGCTCAGTGGTTAAGTGCCCCTGGGTTAAATCCCCAGTAACAAAATAAAACAAAACAAAAACAAAAAGCAAAACATAAAAATCCCCCCCAAGAATTTGATTTTAATGTAGTAAAATTTGTCTATTTTATGGTTCATATTTTGAGTCATATTTAGAAAGTTCCCATTCACTCTGAGACTTTTGTCCTTTTGGATTCTGGCTATTAGGCCTTGTCTTGAGGGAGACCAGAGTGGTTTGTAAGGTCCAACCTTCTGGGGCACAGAAAGCAGGACAGTTTTTACTGGCCTTTCCTGCAAATAAGGACCAGTTAGTAAATTTTAATGAGATATGTAATATTAATATATTTCCATACATCGTTTGATAAATCTTATTTGGTCAGAGTTTTCATATAGTGAAATTACGTTCCTCTTCTACATCTTGATCACGATAAAAAAAATCTGCTTAAAAGTCAGACTTTTTGCAAAGGAATTTTGGTAAAATCTATGTGGGAAGTCACAATACTAATTTATATAGGTGAGGTGCCTTGTCTACTAAGGATGCCTTACTCCACTTCCTTGTATGCCATATCCAGCTGCTCTATACAAGAGGATGTGTGAAATGTAATGTTTCCACTGAAGCCTGAGGAAGATAAGGGCTGTTAGAGCTAATGAGTTTCCAAAGCTTTTTCCTGATCTGTTTCTTATTCTTTCCTCTAGCTCTCCATCTCAAGATCCCCATCTCACACTTACAGAGATTCCCATCTCACACTTATGGTATTCTATATTCTAGAGGCTCACCCTGGCTTTTAGCAGGTAGAAACTGTTTTCACAGACTGAACTTCTTCCCCAGGCTCTAGACCTTCTGAAAAGACCCTTTTGTTTCTCCCTGAGAGGCTGTGTGGCACTTGGCTCCAGGAGCAAAGATGCTCCATCACAGAAATTGAAAAGAATAGATGTACTGGTAAAACAACAGGGAAGACAAAGTAGAGAAAACATAGCCCGTGGGACTAAAAAGCTCTGTGCACTGTGCTTGGGTATCATGGACACATGATGTGTGTGTATCTGAATATGGAAGGTTTTGGTTGGGAGGAAAGTCAAAGTACAAACACCTCAAGCAAGGGTTGTTAATACTCATTGTGTGTCTGTTTTGGGTCAGATATTTTATAAATGCAATCTTTAATCTTTCTAACATATATTTATTGGAGGTTTTTGCTCCAGCTTACAATTTGGGGGACATTGTGGCTTAGAAGAGTCTCAGAGACAAACCTGAGAGCACGCAGTTAGCAAAAAGGAAGGCTGGGCTCTGAACCCAGGTCTGCTGGGCAGCAAAGGCCAAATTTATTTTACTATTTCTTCTGTCTTTAAGGACAAAAACTGCCTGTGAAAGAAATCTTCACTGCAGGCAGGCAATGATTGAAAACAATTTTTTTTTTTTCAAACTACAGAGTAATCTGCTTGGTGTTCTGGGTTTTCTATCAGATGAAGATTTGGTAATAGAAAAATTATCCAAAAGTAGTGATGGGTTCTGTTGTGCTCAGGTTTAAATTACCTTGATTGGCATTTAGGAAGATTGCTCAATAGAAAAGAGCCATCTCTACTTGGAGGTGACTCCTTTACTTCTTCCCCTGACCTTAGATGTGAATCACATCATAAGTCAGTCCTCACAGAGGCTTTCTGTTATTCCCATGGAGTTAGACACATTTTGATGTTCCCTGAGAATCACGTAAACTGTTGCATTTGGTGCTGGGTCCCCAGTAAGTGTATCTCAGGATTCCTTAAGATTTTTGGAAAGAAAAGTCTTTCTTCCACTGAGAATGGCAAAAACAAAACCACTTGCTTGAAACTCAACATCTACAGCACACCTAGGTTAGAGTCCCTTTCTTATTTTAAAAAATAGTGAAAACGTCAATTTTCCTCCAAACTGTCCGTAGTCAAGAAAAGGGCAGTCAACAGTTGATTGTTGGGTTTGTCTTTTGTGGTTTTAAGTACAAATTACCCAAAGGCCTAAAACCATCACCTAGCTTTCTTTTTCTTTTCCAGAAATAAAGGAAAGATACAGAAGTCCAATTCAGAAAGTGCTAAAATCAAACATCCAATGCACTTTGTTCCCTGTAAGTAAACCCCTTATCAGTCTCTTGCAGGGATTCTAAGATGTTATCTCAATAGATCAGATTATGGGGCTGACCACTCTCAATGCTGAGTAGGAATCAAATGGACATTCTCTTCTGTCAGCAACCCCGGCTTTACCAATCCAGATAAATCAATTAATGGGATGCAGAGCTGCTGTCTTGCCTTTCTCTCTACCATGCTTACCTCCTGGAGTTCCCTGGACTCCTCAGTCCCTCTTTAATACCATCTGAGAGTCCTTATTTACAAGAGGGTTTGTGCAGGTGCAAGCATTCAGGCCAGGGGCACAGGAGCAATTGTTCCCCCTCCCCTCCCATGCTCCAGGCTCCCCTCTTTGTGAGACACTTTTCTTCTCTCTGCTTTTCAGACCAAAGACCCCTCAGCAGCTAATCTAATCGGATTATGTTAATTTGTACTTCATGAACCTAAACAGCATAACTAGATCTGCAGAGAGCTAAGGCCAGGAAGAGAGGGACAATGACTTTGTCAGTAAACCTACCCCCCAAAAGTGCAAGAAGAATGCAGGTCCTGTGTTCAGCCACACAAAGCTGCTCCTCTGGGAAACCTACAGAGCTCTTGACAGTGTAGAGTGGCCGGCACCGGCTGCCCTCAGGAAGGAACAGGGTACAGCAAGGACCACAATGACAGGGCTGTTTTCCCCTGTTATAAAGTAAGGCTGCTTTTTTCTTTCCTTTCCCAATTTCCTTATATTTACCCTCTTGGCTAATCAACATATAAATTTGGAAGCTATAGCCAGTGTTACAATTCAACAAATATTAATTGGCAGATACTATCTATTAAGGATAATGCTTACCAAGCCCTGGGATGCATGAAGTTGTCGAGATTTTTGCTTTTGCCCTTCAGACTTGATACTTTGGTAGAGAAAGATTTTGTAGGGACAGAAGTTAGAAAAAACCTCAATGAGGTGGTTACGATTCCTCAGCTTTCTTTACCTCATGTTGGCTGACTCTGCTAGTCATCCTCCATGATTTGCCACATGTTTTTTTTTTAATATTTATATTTTAGCTATAGGTGAACACAATATCTTTATTTTACATTTACGTGTGCTGAGGATTGAACCCGGTGCCTCACGCATACTAGGCCAGTGCTCCACCTCTTGTTATGCTCGAATTCAGGACCCCCAAAAGACCACCAGAGACCAAGATTGATGTAAGCAGCAAAGAGGTGTTTATTGTGGGCTAGCTCGGTCCTCTGCGTGCACACAGCAACTGGTGACGCTGACAGGCCCCAAGCCCAGGGTTTGCAGCAGTTTTATACACTCTTTGGAGAAGGCAGGGACTTCACATACATCATAGCATCTCTTAGCAAATCATCACACACCATGGGAAAATCATAAGACAACTCTAAAACATGATTAGCACATTCACTGGCAGGAACAAGTTGGGTAAGGGTGATTGGTTAGTACAAGAGGGGGATTCATTTGAACTGATTGGTTTAGGCCACAGGGGATATTCGTGCTAAACTACATGGTTTCCCAACATGTTATCAACCACCATAAACTACTGGGAAGGTCATCTGGCATCCCAGGTATTTTCCCTGTCTCATGCTGATTGGAGGTTGCTAGGGGGTTGCCATGGGTCCTCATCTAGCCTGACTGAGTCAGGGATACCTGGTTCCACAGATCTCTCCTGTTATTTATAGATAAACAACTCAGCAGGGTGGGTATGTGCCTAGGAGTGCTCTGTGGGTCTTTCCAAGGACAAGGATCACTCCCCCTTCCTTGGACATGCTTGGCTCTGAGGTAGAGGCTGATTTCTCACCACATCCCCAGCCCCGCCACATATGGTTTTTAAAGTTAAGTTTGTATAAAGTTTTATAATTTATCAAAATATACACCATAAGTATATAACTTAATTTTGGTAACAGATTGTAAGATAAATTAGTCAAGTATTTTCAACCCCCGCTTTCAAGTACTGAAACTGAGACTCAGAGATGTTAAAGGGCTCACTTAACAAGAATCTTCCAGTTAAACACTGGACTTTTGACTTCAGATCTAACATTCCCCCCTTTCCCAGCATGCTCCTCACAAAAGTCTGGAGGAGACCTTAGGACATCAAAGACATTCTTTCACATCTAAGTAGGACTGTAATGTTTTAGACAAATAGCCTTTGAAAGGCCTTCATGCATTGTGATGTTGAAAAAGCTACTTTCAATTGTCAAATGGGTAAGAGAAAATGTGCTAATGGAACAATCTAGACAAGTGTTCTGATAAACCTCAGCTCGATTTTAGCCTTGAACTTTCCAGTCGCTATTCTTGTGTGTTTAGACCATTCAGCGCCTTCTTCTCTTGGACAAGATACTAAAATAAACTCCCTGAATTGGTGTCTATCATCAGTCTGGAGTCTGACCCTGTTTGTTGTTAGGTTCTTACTCCCTTGGCTGATTGGCACTCAGCAATGGAGTAGAATCCAGGGCTTTTTGGTGTGCAGGCACTCTACCACTGAGCCAAACTCCCAACCCCTTTCTAATTAGTTCCTAAACTGGTTTTCCCCTTGGGTAATAAAGCCTCAGCAGTTGGAGACATCTTCCCTGGAGATTGTCTGCCACACACCTGTCCCGGTTACAGCTTGCAGAGGAACAAGTCTCTCTCCTTTTCCAGAGCCCTTATTCCCTCTGGGACCTTTCATTGAGTTCCAGTTCCTGTTCTGAGAGACTCTTGTAATTCACAGTTCAATTAAGGAACTGAAAAGATTACCTATCCTAAAATTAATGAAAGATGGAAAACTTCTCAGTTGGGTGCTCACTCACTTCACCATGACCCCCTTCCTGCCACCCAGAAATAGGCTAAATGGGCAGCAGTGAACTTGCAACCATAATCAGTTCTCACCAAGATAAGAAAAGAAAGGAGGATTTCATTTCTGCTCTTTCCTCCCCTCTTTAAACCTAGAAAACATTTTTATAATCTCATAACCTCAGAGCCTGGTTGGGATGAAGAGTGGAATTTCAGAGTTAGAAGTAGATTTCAGATGAACCCAAATATTTTCTTAACATTTAAATGTCTTTATTCAATTTGTAATTGATTTGGGACTTTTTTTCCTTATTTGCTTTTGTTTTTGTTTTGTTTAGTCTGAAAAGTTTTCCTTATTGGTATTACATTAATTTTCTTAGATGGTTGACTATTCTGGGTCAATTTCAAAGTTTTGTTGCTAGTTTAATACATAGCAATCTAAACAATAAAGAACACTTGAAAAACTTAGTCTGGATGTTAGTTTTCTGAAAATGGCTTTGTTTTGCTGATGTAATGCTGCCTTGTCAGATTTCTAGTGCTCTATCCACATCCCTTTGTCAAATCTCATCATAAACGAAGGGTTAGGGGTTGGCAGATGTGAGTTGCAGTCTTGGGAGTTTGATAAGCTTCAAATTCCAAAACTGACTGAATTATTTTTTTTAATATTTATTTATATATTTTTTTAATATTATTGGCGGACACAACATCTTTGTTTGTATGTGGTGCTGAGGATCGAACCCGGGCCACACGCATGCCAGGCGAGCGCGCTACCGCTTGAGCCACATCCCCAGCCCCCTGACTGAATTCTAATCAATTATCACAGACAGTTTTGTGAAAAGATGACTTCTTTATGAGAACAGTAGTGATAGAGTTTTTTTTTAAACCTAGAAGATTTAAAATTCTAATATATATTTTTTAAAAACCTTGATGAATAGAAAGTGCTTATATTTGCATAAGGTTAGTAGTTTTATAAAACTTAATAGACATTAATATTAAGCTACAGAGTTTATTACTGAATTTATTCTGGCAGTTTATTTCCCTTTGTGTCGTGTACATGGCAAGATACCCCCTAAGTCAGAACCCGGTGATCACTGAATGCAGAATATGATGTGAATGATCCTCCCTACTCGAGTTATACAGCATTATAGTCTCTAAAAGCTGCTACTATTAAAATGAACATAATAAAAACAAACAAATCATGAAAAAGGAGTTATATATGAGGTTAGAGTTATATATGAGGTTATATATGAGTAGGATGCCAAAGCCAAGTCCAAATAGCTTTGGGTGTTTTGCCTAGGATCAGTTTCTTAGGTAGCACAATGGAAATGACCAAAGGCAAATGAAATGTAAGAATCAAAGTTCATTGTCACATCTGGGATTAAAGCCAGAGAGAGCAAACAAACAGAAAAGACAAGATGGTTATCAGATCCAGTGGTTTGGTGTTGTTGGGGCTTGGAACACAATACCCCAAACTATGGCACGTTGGCAGAGTGTGCACTATGAACTAAAGGAGATTGAACGGCCTTAGAAGCAAGATCTCAGCTATGGTTTGGATATAGTGTCCCCCACAAAGCTCATGTGTGAGATGATGCAAGAATTGGGTTATAAGAGCCTTAACTAATCAGCAGATTTGTTATTCTCGAATTTGGGACCCCCAATTGACCACCAGAGACCAAGATTGATGTAAGCAGCAAAGAGGTGTTTATTGCGAGCTAGTTCCGTCCTCTGCGCGCACACAGCAACTGGTGACGCTGAGAGGCCCCAGGCCCAGGGTTTGCAGCAGTTTTATACACTCTTTGGGGAAGGCAGGGACTTCACATACATCATAGCATCTCTTAGCAAATCATCACACACCATGGGAAAATCAAACAATAACTCTAAAACATGATTAGCACATTCACTGGCAGGAACAAGTTGGGTAGGGGTGATTGGTTAGTACAAGAGGGGAATTCATTTGAACTGATTGGTTTAGGCCACGAGGGATATACATGCTAAACTACATGGTTTCCCAACATGTTATCAACCACCATAAACTACTGGGAGGGTCATCTGGCATCCCAGTTATTTTCCCTGTCTCATGCTGATTGGTGGCTGCTATAGGGTTGCTATGGGTCCTCATCTAGCCTGACTGAGTCAGGGATACCTGGCACAGCAGATCTCTCCTGTTATTTGTAGATAAACAACTCAGCAGGGTGGGTATGTGCCTAGGAGTGCTCTGTGGGTCTTTCCAAGGAC